TTAAGAAAGCATTGATATTTTTTAAATAGTTTTCTTCCAAAGGTTGGAAGATTATAAATATTTTAACCATCAAAAGTTGTGGGTTAAATTCTGGCAAGTTGAAAAGTAGCATGTTAATTTGTAAACTGCCAAACTCATTTGGATCATACAGTCTCCAAGCAATCATAATCAGAATAAAAGGACAATTATTGTTTGGCAAGACACCTTATCAATACAGTACATCTTACCTTTTATAAAATGTGTACTACACTTGTGCACATCTATGGCCTTTAGAATGTCATCCTTCCGTAACTAGTGCAAGATCCGCTTCATGGACCACACCAAGCTCATCCAGTTTTCCCAAACGTTTTTCTTTCATCAAAATTCGAAAACATGAATCATTAATAGTTTCCATAATTATCTGTAATTACTGACATACATCTATGGATATTTATTATGTTAAAACAGTGTTCAGATTTCATTTTAACATACACAAAGTTGTGAAAATTTTGAATGAAAGTGTAATTTTGCTTCCCTTATCTTATAATTTTAGTCTTTAAAATAAAAAAAGTGACAACTGGAAGATATCTTATAATTTTAGTCTTTAAAATCCAAAAGGTGCCAACTGGAAGATATTAGGTTCCTGAAAAGGCTCAATTTATTAAGTATTTTCACTTCACTTCTCTAACATTGCAACAATGTAGAAAATGTTTCTTTCGAATTCGGTTTATGGGATTGCAACTCTAGTTATTATTTGTGGGCTATAAATGGGTGAATTATATCAAATGTACATAATTATCTTAATGAAAAAGTATAGTCTTCAGTATTTGACACCTTTATTTTTTAAAATTGGTCCAAAACCAGAACAGGGCATGCCAATAAACGAAATTGAGAGAGTGCAGGAAAATGAAATTCACAAGTTAACAGATGTGAAACAATTCAACATAATTAACTTCTTTATCCTAATCATAAATGATATGAAGGTGAGTTTGGTGTCAGTCTATACCCCTGTAGGTTTGAGGCCAAGGCAAGGAATCGATTAATGATGAAGTTTTGTGTTTTGTTTTTTGTCGGAAAACAGATTCTTTTAGCAAAGGTGTCAAAATGCTGAGGACACCTTTCATTTTTATTTTGGTAATCAAAGTATCGCTCCCAAATGTTGATGGCCAGGTCTTGAACGTCTGCTCTCCATTGCAATAGCCTAGCTAAGCTAACACTATCGGGCCTAACCTGGCAAGTCCTATAGGCCTTGCCTACTTACTTTCAATATTCAACTAGCCTGCCTACGGCCAGGCCCTAGGTAGACCCATGCCCAGTCCTAGGGCCTAGCCCTAGTAGTAGTAATAGTAGTACAGTAGGCTAATTAGGCCTAGTCTCTAGGCCTAGGTCGCTTTAACTTTACCGAAGATAACTAGTGCCTATAAGTAATAATTGGAAATTAAAAAAGGATATATTATATATTGTACAATGAAAACTTACTGAACTCACTGATCCTTTTGTTTTCCAAGATAAAGAACCGACGTAAACGAACTTTACATGTGCTCTCCTCTTCCATACCATTGCGTGCGCCTGTCCGCGCTCAACGTCGACACACTACGCATGCGTGTGTCATAATGCGTCATAAACTGAGATGTCACGTGATCGTAAGCGCGCCAAATAAATGGTTTTCACTTTAATTTTACGTTAGGGAACGTATAAAAATAACGATGTTTAAAAATATATAATTGTCAAGGAATTCCAAAATATTTGACACGATCAAGGTGGAATAGGCCTCTTTTACGCCAATTTAATACTGTAGTAGGTGAAATATTATGACATTAGCAGAATAATGTCAGCGTTTAATTCACAATATTATCATCGTTGTTACAAATATACACCGTTATACGTATGCTTAGGCCTAGTAGGCCTACTTTTTATTTAAAAGAAGTTTTGAAATGTAAAATTACGCTTAGCATTACGAGCTAAGATGTTCATTTACTTAATGTTGATTCTGACCTGTTAAACTACAGATAACAGTGATATGACGGCGTAAAATTAACTTATAGTGTAAATTTCGAGCTCTGACGTTAAAACACAATGGCGATTTTAAAATGTAGAAAAACGATATGATACCGGTAATTTAGGCTACAACAAATCAACAACCTATCGTATTCTTATTATACAAGATACCGTTAAAATACAATTTTACTGTAGTTACGTTATTTTTACAGTAAATTGGATTTCAGTAAACGTAAAATAACAGACATTTTTTTTACTGATAGTAGGATTACAACGGCGAACGTAAAATTACTGAAAAATGTTAATTTTACCCGCGAAGATGAACCGTTATTTAACATGGCGAAGTGTGAGTTCACAGTCTCCCTAACCCTAACTCTAACCCTAACCCAGAATTATACAAAAATACCGTTAAAATTCATAGTACTTGTTAAAACAATATTTTGTACTGTAAAATTACGCCAGTTTATAAATGAACATTACGAACTCCAACGTTAATTAACGTAATGTTGATTTTGACCTGTTAAATTACGGAAAACAGTAATATGACGACGTAATTTAACCGCCAAACACATTGAATTTACGAATTCACCGTATATTTACATAAAAATTCCGTCGAAATACACGGACGATTTTTAACCTGTAGAAAAACTATATAATACCGGAAATTTACAACAAAACACCAATCTATCGTATTATTATATAAAAAATACCGTAAAAATACAATCACACGGTAGTGACCCTTATTTTTACAGTAAATTTAATTTCGGTAAACGTAAAATTACTGACATTTTTTACAGTGTAACCAATTAACCAACTAACCAATCAATCTATAAATTACTCGATCAATCATTCATTTAATCAACACTTAATGCTAGCACTAGACTTATATAATTCTTTTGGATCAGGAATTATATCTGGTGTATCTGCATGCCGACGGGTGCTGCTAATTTGTATTGTGTCAAACCTCGGATCTAAGTGTGAGTACTTAAAATTGATCTCATCAGGCTTAAGCTTGTTGACATGGATCTGTATAAAGCTGGTCCAGTCAAATTTCTGACATTTCAAGGACCTTTTCACCCTCAAAATCCCCCTTTTCTGACTGTAAAGCTTCCAGTCTTTGATGTCAGAAGACTGTACATGAATTATGCTGTACGGATCAGGTGCAAATTCTGATATACGCTCCATGGCCCTCTCTATAATAATAATAATAATAATAATAATAATAATAATAATAATAATAACAATAACAATAATAATAATAATAATAATAATAATAATAATAATAATAATAATAATAGTAAGTAATATCTGCGTTGGGTAATCGAGGACACTAAATATAGAGGAAATACGCCAGGTCCTGTTTCTTGCACATTATTATTATTATTATTATTATTATTATTATTATTATGTTTTCAACGTATTATGACCATTGAAAAGGAAGTACCAACAGTGCAACACTTCGATCATCGAGCTCATTGAATTATATTTCAAGTTGTTGACGTGTTACTTAGGAAAATACGAAGAAGACTATATGTTTTGTTTCAACATTATCAAACAAATAAAATTCAAGTTAACAAAATAAGGAGGGATGTAATATCATTAAGAAGTGTTTTTCGGTGATCGGACGAGAACCGGTGTTTTCAACGATGTATGGCCGAAAACAAGAGAGCACCAACAGACGAGCTTCACTCACTCAAGATAAAAAAGAACGTTAGGATTTCACTACAACAGCAAATTTATTGACCTTAGGCTTCGACGTTATTTGGCGACCTCTGAGGAGGGTGGGTCCAGGCTTCAAAGTGACGCCTGCATTAGGAAAATATTATAAGAGCTATCGATGCGTTACTATTGGTAAAATTAATTTTCTAGAAAAAAAAAATGATGTCTACAGCACCCGGTATTCCCAAGCGGTCTCCCATCCAAGTTCTAACCAGGCCCGACGTTGCTTAACTTCGGTGATCGGACGAGAACCGGTGTTTTCAAGGTAGTTTGGCCGTAGACAAGGATGCACAACAGTTCATCGAGCTCATTGAATGATATTTCACTAAAATACAGTTTTTAACCAATGAATAGAACGATTCCATAGCAAAAATTTTTTGTTATCGTCATTTGAATTTTCAAAAAGCATCACAGTTAAATTAAAAAAATCGAAATAAAAATCGCCGCAGAAAAATATTTACAATTTTTCGAAATTTATGAAATTTCAGAAATGTGTTCAGACTATGTTCATGTACATGTGGTAAAAATTTCATTTGTACATGTGAAAAAAATTTCATCTCTAGAGATCGAGATCTCGAGTAGAGAGATAGAAACAGATAGAGAGAGATAGATAGATAAAGATAGAGATAGAGACAGAGATAGAGACAGATAAAATAAATGCGAAATAAACAAAAACGAAGTTAAGCAACGTCGGGCCCGATTATTACTTCGATGGGAGACCGCCTGGGAACACTAATAATAGTGTAGTTTTATATAGCGCACATATCCATCTAATGTAAGATGCTCAGGGCGCTTGAAATGTGGACTAGGAACTCGACCAATGACTTTCTTCGCCCCTAAGGGTCCCTTCGTGTCTGTGCTACCCGGCAACCCAGTACCAGCAACTCTCGTCGTCCACCACAGGGGCTGTCTGTGGTAACCCCCTACTCGTCTCGAAGGATGTACTGGGTTCTTTATAGTGCACACGAGCCATTGTATACACTGGGTCTACGGTTTATAGTCCTTATCCGAGAAGACCATACTGCCTTGAAAACACCGGTTCTCGTCCGGTCACCGAAGTTAAGCAACGTCGGGCCTGGTTAGTACTTGGATGGGAGACCGCTTGGGAATACCGGGTGCTGTAGACTTAATTCATTTATTATTTTTTTCTAGAAATTGATTTTACCAATAGTAGCGCATCGATAGCTCTTATTATATTTTCCTAATGCAGGCGTCACTTTGAAGCCTCCTCAGAGGTCGCCAACTATCGACGTCGACGCCTAAGGTCAACAGATTTGCTGTTGTAGTGAAGTCCTAACGTTCTTTTTTTAAATCTTGCTTGAGTGAAGCTTTACCTATAAATTTGATGAAAGGTATGAAGCTTTCACGAATAATGTGTGTTTGGTGATGGGAGATCGAATGCATAGCTATTAAATTTGATGAATGGTGTGAAGCTTTGACGAGTAAAGTTGTGTTTCATGGTGATGTGACATCGAATCCTCTATTATTATACATTATTATATTATTATAATATTAATAGTGATAATAATAATATTAGTAATAATAATAAGAATTAATAACAATATAATTCCTGATCCAGAAGAATTATATAAGTCTAGTGCTTCAAAACTCTCGGACACGAAATATCAAGACCTCATAAGCTTATGCTCTGGACATGCTCCAGTAATTTCCATTCCAGAATACTAATCATTTTATAGACAACTCCCACATTAAATTACAAATTCACCAACATATTACCTTTCACTTACAAAATCAATTGAACACTCTCAGGTATTCAAAACCAGCTTAAAAGTACAAAATATCACCAAATATCAATTACACTAGTATTAAGTTTTTATATTTATCTCTTAAAATATAGCTTTTGCTCAAATTAATATTAATTGATTAATTGAATGATTGATCGAGTGATTTATAGATTGATTGGTTAGTTGGTTAATTGGTTAATGTGTTGGTACTCCCAGAAACATTGATTCTTCTTTATGTTACTAGATCGTTCATATCATCATGTCGGTAATATTATTGTTTCATTTCATTTCACACTGTTGTACAGGTATGTTTAAGTATAATATTCAATTCAACTAATTAAACTACAATGTACTTATGACAATTAATTGTTAAAACTGTATGATAATTTATAATGTATTTATGTATAATAATAATTAAAAACGTTTGAATTTCGATGAATTTTACAATATTCGGCCGTGGTTATATCTACTCCAAAGTGATGGAACCAACGCGCTCATTAACAAACTTGACGTAACATCGGAGTAGATGAAGCCACTGTGTTAAAATTAATATTAAACTTTAAATCAATTTAAAAAACAAAATGAATTTAAAAAAAAAAAATTCTATTGAAGGTGGTTAATGCCATTGGGCCAAAGGGAAAAAAAAATTCTTGTGTTGACCATGTTCTCGACCTTGGAAAATTGTTTCTAAATAAAAATAAAGGCCTACTACTACAACTAGAAATAATTACATTCGTTTATTAAAAAAAAAAATAGGCCTAGGCCTGCATCTATAACCGGGCCCGACGTTCGTTACCTTCGGTGATCGGACGCAAACCGGTGTTTTCAACGTGGTATGGCCGTAGACAAAATAGCACCAACAGTACAAGTCTTCGATTAGAGCTTTATGACGGTGAGATAACCTCAAACACACACTATTTTTTATTGAAACTTTGAAGTTGTTCGGAACAGTACTCAAATTATAGCGAAAATAAATCAAAAATTTGCACTAAGTGCTCAACTCGGCGAGATAAGCACTTTTGGTCAAAAAGTCACAATGTTAAAAAGTTGAGTCCAAATTGGTTTTTTTTATGCACGGTGAGATAGCCTAAAACACACACTATTCCATTGAATGTTTTAAAT